AAGATGGTTCTTTGCGTATTTGTCAGTGTGCCTATGTGTTATGCATGAGGGTATGCAATCTCTTGAACAGTGCTCTCAATTGAGCTGCAAATGTATATTGAATTTCCTTGTCATGGCTAGCAGGTTCAATTCTTGTATTTTCTTTTATTCCCTCTGGCAGCAAGATGTATCCTGTACTATAGTTACGTTGATTTGATGTTTCTTTACCAAAGAATATCAAGAATGCATTATTCACTTTTGTCTTGATTAATTCTTAATTTGGAATATAAGTTCCATGCTGAAAAGCTGAAAAAAGCAAATGGCACATCAGAGTTCTCACCAGGGAATTCTGCTACACACCTGTACAGAGTCCTTTTCGTGCACTTACTGGCAGTGAACTGTGAGGAACTGTCAGTGATTTGATCCAGGTTACAGCAGACATAGAAGTCAAGATAGATTTCCTAGCTCCATTTCATGTATTGTACAAAGAAAATGCTCCCCATAGACATATATTGTGTTTCACTGGCTGACCTGAATCTTTCAGATTGACAGTCCTGGGCCATTGGTATCTGCTCTTAGAGTGAGGCCAGTTTATTGCAAAGAAGGTTTGACTCAATAATGATGTGTATTGTAGAGTGTTGTTGGTTGGCAGTGTTGCATAAGTTCATCAAAACTTGAACATTTGTTCATCAAACTTGCTCTACCAGAACTGAGACAACATTCTCAGGCTCTTTCAGAAAAATGCCAATATGTAAGATTTTTTGTGAAACTTCATGTTCATAGTGCTTCATGCAACATTACATACTGGTCTTCTAAAGCAGATTTTTGGAGGGCAGTGTTTGAATGCCTTTCACTGTGGGAACTGATGCTTCCACCATGGTTTTTGCAGATCTTGAGTATTGGGAAATGGCACTGATACATAGTTGAAGTAGAAAGTATGCCTGTTTATGAGAATGGAGCTTCTGAGATGTTCCAGTCAGTATGGACACCACAAATTGTTCCCCACTCTTACTTTGAGAATCCTCAGTTAAGGTGGATTTTGAATGGAGGCAACTGGAGGTTGCCCAGCACTTCTGTACTTCTAACAGAGAAATCTAGTCAAAAAACACTGACCTCACGTCTACCCTGAAACCACAAATACCAAGGTGAGTCAGGAAAATAAATTTATTTTAGGCTAAGTCACTGATTGCTCTTCAGTTATGTAGTAAGTAATGAAAGGAGTCATTGAAGAGAATAAGAGCAAATGAGAAGTACTGGTTAAATAGCAAAAAAATTCTAAAACCCCCTAAAGTTTTCCATTTTTGGGGGGGGACATAAATAGCATAAATAGTACTTTGGAATTATCAAATGGACAAGTGAAGATAGGCTATAAACTGTGCCAATATGGCAGTGTTTTTTACATCAAGTGATTATGTGCTGTATGCTTTCTGTCAAGCAGTTGGAGAGGTGGTTTTTCTTTCCTTGCCTGTTCTGGATAATGAGATTCTCAGTTTTTATTCATGGTACATAACTTCTCTTACTTCATGGAAGCCAGGAAGGTAACTCCACCTGTACAACCTGAGAAGCTGACCTGGAAATTCTTCCTATCAGTGATATTGGTGCACCTTGGAAAAAGCACACAAAGTGAAACTGCCCAAGTTCTTCTGATATAGAATATTTGCATAGAAGATTACATATTCTACCTGGTGAGAAAGTTGTTGAAGGCAGCATTGTTGTCATAATCTGTAATGGGAGTCATGTACCTTGTAACTTTTAATATAAATTCCTTTTGACATTTTATGATTTCAGTGTGTGAGTGGGTGAATGTTGATTATGAGGAGATGAACTAATATTTCTGAAGCCCTTGAAAGATGATAAATTAAGCTCGAGGTTGCCTAGAAATTCTTGAAGAGAACTGAAATTCACAAGCCATATGGTAGTGATAACTGAGGATCAGACAAAGCTTATACCCCTTGAAAACATGAATTCTTTCTATTCTTAATTTTGTATACTGTTAGTGTAACATTCCTTTAAGAAGTACTGGGTTAGCTAGTCTCCCTCTGAAAGGAGGAGGGATATTTTTCCTTTCCTAGCTGTACTTCTGAGCTTGCTTTGGTGGAGAATAGTGAGAGATTACAAGGTGTAATATACAGGAGGATGACATCAGAGAGATTGGGTGCCATAGTTCATGCAAAAAGACTAAGAGACTGCAGTAAGGAGACAGTCATACCTCAAAGGAGGTAAAGTGCATAATTAGAGATGGTAGAGATCAGAGGCAAATGAGGAGGGTTTGCTTCTAGTCAATAAATAACTGGATGTAGTTGCTCTAAACATATTGTAAAGGAGAAAATAAATTTATTAAAATAGTGTTAAATTTTTTGGAGGTTGTGGAAGATGCAGTCTGGTACATCTACATATGACACTTTGTCCCTGGCTTCATTTGGAATGAGGTTTGAAAATAAACACAAAGCTCTTGAAAGCAAGAAAATGTTGTAAGAGTGCTGCCAGCTTTATTCCTGGCTCTTGCATTCTTTTCACTGCTTTGGTCTGGAAAGGATTTGTAAAGATCATACAAGAGAGAACTGAAATTGTGGAGTTTATGTGTAATTAAGATATAAATATCATTCTCATCAAAAGTAGAACCAATATGGTCATGAACTCAGCAATGTGCTGGAGGCAGTGGGAAACCAGAGTACTATGTGAGAGAACTAGAGCTATCGTCCTGTAATTGATTCCAGTGCTGGAAATCCAAAGATAGTTTTTTGACTAAAGAAGAGCATAATAGGCTGAGGTTCAAGGTGAAGACTTCAACCCTCATGGGAGAATTATTCAGCCGTGATAAGGAGTGGTGCAATCAAAGGATGTCAGTTTCAAAGTGGATAATAGATATGGAAGATGTAAGTTACAAACCTTCAGAACAAATTTTGTGTTCCTCTTTGTTTTCTTCATAAGGCACAATCAAGCCCTGAATTCTCTGTGAGGTCACAACTATAGTGAAAACATTTAAAATAATGACAGTATAAGCTTCTGAAAGAAAATAATGTCAAAAAAAGAATTCAGAAAATAAGTTAGCAAGGATGAAGCTGCTTGTGAGACTGTTCTGTAAGGGAAAATTTAAATCGATAGAAATGGAACTAGAGGCATAGATTTGAAAGGTATTTATTTTACAGTTCTGGAAAATTGCAAGCAATGGAAAAAATATGATTAGATGATGTTTTTAACTAAAAGCTTAGTTAAGCTTTTAACTTAAAAAGTAAGTAATTCAGAAAGCTATAAAAGTGATGCCGGCATTTTATATTTTCACCTCTTCCTTGTGTTCAGCTATTTCTTCACTGCTATTCTTTTGCAGCTACATTATACACCATAAAGCTCTGCTACTGAATATTGACTTGGTGACAGCTTTTTTGCAGGTATTTTGTATTTATCCTTCTACCTGGATTATTGGCACATGTTTATTGAATTGATATTAGTTCTCTTGAGAGACTATAAAGAACGGAATAAAATTCACGTGCAAGATACATTAATTAATTTATTTTTGCTACATTTGGCTTGCTTGTAGACAAATACTTTAAAACATATTTTATTCAACACTGATAAAAATGCTATCAACTTTATAGTGCTTTTGTAGCAATGCGTGACAAGTTATCATAGGAGGAGACCCATAAAACCTCTGCTTTTTGGTAAGGTGGATGAAGGCAGTCATGGGCTGAAGGAATGTGATGATTCAGCTTAATGTGCTTCATTAAACATTTCTCTGTTGTTGGAAATTTCTTCTGAAACAAACAATTTTTCTTAAATACATCATTAGAAAAGGACTGTATGCTATAGACCTTTTTTTGTTATCTGAAAGTTCTATTCAATAACTTTCCACATTTTCCTTCCCACATTCACATTATTTTAATTATTGTAATTGACACCTAGATGCCTTCTCATTGATCATGAAAGATTTAATAGGCACTGTCCACTTGAATGAACAGAACCACAGACCTCGTCATTAATCAGAGCACTGTATAAGGACCCAATTCAGAAAAATATACTTAATATCTGTCAGCAATGCTTTCCTCTCTAGAATGAAAAGACATTTTCCTCCTCATAATCTGTATATTTCGCAGGTGGCAAAGTCCCTAGGTTGCCTTGAAGATATCTTGAGATTTCCAACCAGCTAAAACATGTGACTGGGCTGAAATTCTGGTGTTAACAACTGGATCATTAATAATTATGCTATTGATTTCACTGGGGCAAGGGTTTTACTTAGACCCAGTGTCCTTTTCACAGCTTTTACTTTTCCACATCTTTCTCAATAGCAAATGACTACATTTTTAGATTACTCCTATTGAATAAGCTATTTCTCTTTGAGTTTCAGTCTGCTTTTATTTCCCAGCTTCTGTAGAGGCTTTTAGTTTTATAAAGTCAGCTGTGTGGAGTCCTGCACAGAAACACTGCTAATAAGTAAAACAAACTTTTCCAACATCCAGAACAGATCACTGATATTACCAAATAATATTTTCCATACTGGGATCCAGCATGCATGTCCAGCTACATCTTAGATGTGATTGTTCCCCATTACTCCCTGGCTGTAATGTTTGTCTCTTGTCATTTTCCCTTTGGAAAATGAGTGTCATTTTTCCATAAAGAGTTGAGAGATGCCATGGGTGAACAGAGTGATTTGTCTGGTGCTGCTTGGCAGGATGCAACGTGTTCCATCTGTAAGGAATTCCGGGCAGAGTCCATGGTAGGGGTAGAGGCTGGAGGAATTAAGGAGTGGGAGAGTGAGATGTAATGTTGTGAATATGAATACAAATTGTAAACAGTAGAGCTAGTGGCATACTTTCTTATGTTGTATATGGAGCACTCAGCTGATGACACAGGTGTCAAAGCACTTTTTTATGTGCTTGTCCTGATGCATAATTCTTTTAGACTTCCGCATTTGTATTCACACTTCTTACAAGATTGTTTTATCTTCATTGTTAGCACGTGACAAAATCATCGTTGTTTGTCTTCATTCCAGGACTACAATTAACCAATTGTTTGTTTTCTTTAAGAACTGCCTGAGACTGCCTTAATTGAAGAGAAAGTTCAAGAGACAGAGACATGGGCCAGGCCTCTGGTCTACCTTTGGCAGACAAGAGTACCCAATTTCAATGCTGAAAAAGAATACAATGCAGCTTGTGCAAAAAAAGAACCACACTGTGCCATTTGCACTCTTCTCATGCCGTACTACAAGGTAACCAAGATCCTAACAGCTCCATCTCCGGGTGAAGTGTGAAATAGCTACCCAGCTATTTCATTTTCAGTAAAGTAGAAATAAGATAAGCTCATGCATTTGATTTGTATGAGAAGTAAATAAAGTCACTATTGTTAAAATTAGAACTGATACTCTGTTCGCCTGCTTTTATCCTTGGCTGCAGACAGTGTACACCTTCTACTAGGGTTAGTGTAGGATTGGTGTTAGTCTATGTGTGCTTGCCCTTGAAGTTATACTTTTTCAGGTGGTGAATCTACACAGGTTTGTATCTTTTAGCTATTTCCTTATATGTCCATCTTCAAATGCTTTTTATCAGAGCCTCTTCTGTGTCTCCTTCCTGGTGTTGAAGAAATAAGTGTTTTCACAGTACTTAGGCCTTCTCAGAAATAATATTCCCGTAGAGAGAGTCTAATGCAGAGCAGAGTTTGATACTGGCTTGCGGAATTCCTGTGTCAAATGTCAGCTAAAAATCCTGTCATAGCACTATGGTACTAATTCTGAAGCTGCTAAACTGGAACCCCCTCAGCACGGGAACTAGGAAGAAAACTTTTATTGCACTGTACCCAGTTAAAGGGCTCAAAGGGAGACAGAGGTACAGTATCACTGAACACTGCTGCAATCATACCAGTTTGCAGGCTGAGTGCTATTCTATATTTCACAGTTATTTGAACACTCAAGGAACTATAGAATGACTGTGATAAATACCTAGAAGCAGTTAATTTTCTCGTAAAACTGTTACATTGTTAGTGCAAGAGCTGGGAGGGGACAAGTCATTTCATCATTGTCAAAAGGAAGAGTAAATAAAACTTTCCTTTCTTTTACTTAAATATAAATTTTGTTTATTTTCCAGCCAGACAATCATGATGAAGAAAGTCCTACTTTTGGGGAAGCAAACTCAGCAGAAACATTGATGGCTGAAAATGAAAAGACTAAACCTCTTATTCCAGAGATGTGTTTTATTTATAGTGAAGAAAACACTGAAAACTATCCATCAAATGCCTTTATTGAAGACGATGGAACAAGTCTTCTGATTTCCTGTGCAAAGTGTTGTGTACGGGTTCATGCAAGTAAATAAACTAATTGTTCAGTTGGCAGAAATGTAATTTCAAATTTTGTTTTACTGATACATAATAGTTAACTAGGCTTCTAGTATGTCTCTAAAAGTACTTGAAGAACATTTTCATATGCAATGCTTCAATCACTGGCTACATTTTTTAAAAAACTGTTATATTTTCTATTACTTGTTAATAATTGCTGTGAAAATAGTGAAGAATTAACTTTTCTGTAAACTTTCAATAATCACAAACTTCTGATTCTTCTTTCAATTCTGAGCTATTAAATTCCTCTTTTACCTCTCATATTTTAAACCACTGTGTGATGTTAGTATGTCTTTATTAAGTAGCCAGGGTGAAATCATGCTGGATTTGAGGACTTGTGAATATTGCTGTTGACTGTAGATACGCAGTAATTTCATTCACCTTGCATTCGTTTTTATTTCAAGAGTGACTGATGAATGCACGGCTTTTCTGCAGTATATTCTACAGACAGTAGGACTGGAGAAGTTAGCTCTAAGAAGTCCATGTGGATTCTTACATGGAAGTGCAGTATAATTGCATAGAATAAACGTCAGTACGTTAGTTCAAACTGTATGTTATTACTGCAGGGAGAATTGGTGACTTGCTGTTGAACTGACAGAAAATAATAAATTCCCTGGGGCTTGTTTTTTTGGGTGTTTGGGGTTTTTTTTATTGCTCGTTTGTTTTGGTTTTGTAGATTTTTATTTTTTTTGTGTCTAATTTACATTTCATAGACTATGGAATTAACAGTAAGTCTAGATTGGAGAAGTCTCCTTGGTCACAGGAAATGTGTTTTACTAGTGTTTGTATGTAGTTGAATTGTATGACATCATAGACAGAAAAGCAGAATATATTAATCAATCCAGTTCTCTTATTCTAGGTTGCTATGGTGTTCCTTCTCAATAAATCCATAATGAATGGTTGTGTTCTCGATGCAGAAAAGAAGCCTGGACAGCTGTAAGTTTCACACATTGCTTGGTTATCTAACACATTAGAGATTAAGGAAAAAAAAGAAAAAGAAGTACATACATGATTGCATGTGGAATGTAGCCTGTGTATTTTTTCTGAACACACACTTGCTGGGGAAAAATTATTTGTAAAATATGAGTAGATTTCAATGTAAAATGTAATAACATTTTGATAGACAAACTTCGAGTAGGTTTATCCACTCAAGAAAAGGATTGCCTAACAGAATATACTTGTGTGTAAAACATTGTTCATCACGGTTCAAAACTGAAAATTTAAATGCACATTAGAGAGAGAAAAAAATGAGATTTCCTCTAAATATTTTAGACTTTTGGTATGTACATGTGAGCAGCTGGAGAATAGAGAAAGGCAAAGAGAATAATAAATTACAATCAAGACTGAAATTGTTCTTTTACAGCATTTAAGGTTTACTGAGCTGTATAAGCACAAAAAGGTTTCACTTGTGAAGCTCCTAAAAGCCTATTATTTTATTTTTGAAAGAAGTATAAAATAGTTTTATACAGCAAGGAATAAATAGGCAAGTGATCAATAGTTCATAGAAACCCTAAACATATACTTTAAAAAAAAAAAAAAGTTTAAAATCTTACATTTCACCAATCTATCAGTTGCCCTGCTAAGTCATCTAATATTTGCATTCCTTAAAACAGCTTGAGGAAATGTGATAGTCAGTTTTGATGGCAACATAGCTTTTCTTCATTCAGTTGTTGAATTAAAAGCAGTTATTTCAGGTGCCTTAAAAATGTAAATCCTTAAATGACATCATAAAATTTTTAGATATGTTGAAAAAGAAATGAGAATTCAAACTACTGGAAAATACAATATCGCTTTGTCAAACATCACTTCTTGCAATTATGAAAGTCACCTGTAAGAAATTCACAATCATAGCATTAGCAAACTGAAAGTAACAATAAATATAAACACGTTGATTTTCCTTTTGTACACTGTCAGCATTTTAAGGTTCTTTTGTGAATGCTAAGACTTAAGGAAACAAAAGAGGAACTGGTATTTTTAATCCACATATTACCTAAGCTGGGGAAAACAAAAGGAAAAAAGTGAGTTAGAACTGCTCATTACAAAGATATGGTCCATCTATAATGTTTAGTCCTGTGCTCTCTCAGTGAATAAGTATTAAAATATTTATTGAATCAATTTCTATCTCTGTAATGTGTTCTTATTTTAGTAGGAAAGGCATTCTTACTAGGTAAAATCCAATTTTCGTCTTTCATTGGTAACCAGAAAAACTTATTACAGCTTCCTTATCAGACAATCATGAGTTTCAGGATGTCCTGAACTACTTTTGTGACGACTGTTCTAGAGTAAGGGGAAGGTCGAGGGGAAAAGCGTAAGTCTGTGCTAGCAAGTGACAGGTTACCATTAACTCAAAACCTAATTATCAGTTAAACAGGGTTAGAAAGCCCTGCTACTCTATCAAAAAGTTTTGTTAATTTCTTTTGAGGGGAGATACAGCTACGATGTGCAAGTATGGGAATTCTAAGTAGAGCGTTCTTATCCATGAAATACCACGTATGACAGCAATAGGACTGAATCAGATGCTTTTGTTAAAAACACCAAAAAATTTAGAACATTGCCTTGGAATCTGATTTTAACTGCAATATAACAGTAACATATTAGTGGAGAAATTTGGAGAGAGTCTTTATCTTTTGACTATAGTGCATTTTTAAAAATCAAAAGTCACTGAAAAATAGTAAAACAAAATTCAGTCTTATCATTTGTTACTGCTGTGTTACAGAAAGGATTCTAAAATTGTTCCGGGGCTCTAATGTTATTTTACAAATGTTCTTGAAGAAGAGCACATTCAGATAGCGCAGCGGTGGGTGAAAGATAAGAACAAAAATAGTGAGATAATGACTGTCTGACTCATTTATTTTCACTATCGGGCAATAAAGGGGGAATTGGGAAATATGATAGAAAGAGGAAAATGTTGGGGAGAAGATTGAAGCTTGACTTGACTGGGATTTTTCTTTGACAGACTTTTAGGGGAAAAATTCGCACCCAAGGACAGCGTTAATGTGAGAATTATGCACATTTTACTGAATAGGTTTAGTTTTATTCTGTTATGATGCGTATAAGTTTCTGAAAATAAGGAAGATCTGAATTTTAGGGAAAGTACTTTTTGGCCAAAGTATTTGAGGAGATGAGATGAAGCAGTGGAAGAGATATCAAAAACATACAGAAAATAACTCAATGGAAATTTTACGTAAAGAGGTTTTAGTATTGGATTTTTGGAAAAGCACACTCTAGGAACTGGAGAGAAGACTCAGTGGATTTCTGGAATTTTATGTGTTACGTAACAGGAGGGTGATAGGAGTGAAATGAAGCACCATTTTCACCGAGCAAAGGCTAGACAGTACGTGTTGCCCACTTGGACAATTTATTTAATGTAAGCTTTGGCTATCATATATTTAACTGAATTGCTGTGATTTTGTGTGTGTATTGATTACTGTACAGCTAAATTGTTAGTGCTGACAACTTCATCTTTCTATAGCTCTGATTTGGTAACCTGAGTGAAATGAATTTATGCCCCAAGAGAGCTCTTCATTAAGATATGTTTGTGGAATACAATTCACATTCTTAATGTCCTAAGTTGTCATTCAGTTGGGAAGTTTTAATGAAATGTTGAAGATTGAATAGACCCTCACTAGTATTAAATTTACTTAAAACTTGTCCTCCATGGTCTGCTATCTTGTATTCTTTGTTATTACATGTCGTTCACATGTCCATGTGAACTGTTCATTGTCAGCTGGAAGACATAGGAGTGATAGACAGTAGGCCTCTGCTACCTGAGTTAAATAGCAAAAATCCAGCAGTTTCAAGGATGTGAATAACTCTGTTATTTACTCATATGTGAATGATACCCAGTTCACTTTTTCTATTTTTAATAGTAGGGTCTTTCAAAACTCTTGAGATGCTGGAGCAATCTCAGAACTATCAGTGATTATCTCTGAGAGTTTGCAGAACTTAACTGAGGTGCCAGCAGCCTGGAAAATTTCACATTGCTTTTAAAAAGGCAGGAAATGGGTGACCCAAGGAATTATGTGGCAGTCAACCTATCTTGGATTCCAAGAGAAATACGAAACAAATGATGAATCTATCAATTTCTAAACACCTAGACAATAACAGAGTACAAAGTGATATGCATTTAAGAACAAACCAACTATTTTTTTTCTCTGACAGCTGATGGGAGTAAGGAATAAGCAGAAGATTTCATGCATCCTAACTTTCAGACGCTTTTGATAGTGTTTTAAATTCTGATATTCAAGTGACAGTAGAGACACGATGTGAATCAAGAGTTGCCAAACATGCAGGAATATGGATTTGCTTTCAACCCCCAGTGTCTCAGGCCATCAGCCATCATTCTCATCAGACTCTTAAAATCACTAAGAGAGTGGTAAATTTCTGTGCATCATTTGCTGATTACTTTTCATGTCCTTATGGAACACACACGGAAATCTAGACTATTCTACTTTAAGCTGTTTAAGATGATTGTACAGGAGATGGGGGAGTATACTTCATGTGAAGCTACCACGGTGTTAAACTTATGGAATATATCAAAGGCTTTTTTCGCAACTGTCAAATGTGTTTCAGGTATTATTCAAAATATTATTCAAAATATTATTTTCTTCAGTTATTTCAATATTTCAGTGAAGCAAAAGGATTAATAAGAAGCATTCCTGATGCATTTTCCATAAGTACCAAGGACCTTGGGCATTTTGTAGGCTGGGATTTACTAATTTGGGTTAGGATTACTATTTTGGATTGGATCTAATTACTGTTTTGGATTGGATCCTACTATTTTGTACAATAATAGTAATATTACTGTATCGAACAAATGCTGTAAAATAAATCATATGAAATTCAACAGAGAAAAGTACAATACTTAGAGAGGAGTTATCAGTTATGCACATATAAGACGGGAGTCCTTACCTAAGCAGTGGCTCCTGCTGCCAGCTGCAGTTGTGACCACTCTGGTCACAAACTGAACATAAGTCATCAGTTCTACAGAACCTGAAGCATCACACCAGGATGTTTAAGCCTTCTACTGGAAGTAAAGCCTGAAAAACACATGGAACAATCTTTCTGCTCTCTTCAGCTTTGATGAGAGCCCAGCTGATGAACTGTGTCTAACAGTGAACGCCTGTTTTTCAAAAAAACATGAGCCTGAATGGGATGGAAGAAAACGAAGAGGTGCAATTGAAATTGCAAAAAAACAAACCCAAAATTCTTTTAATTGTTTCTGATAGACCTCAATCATTCCATAAGGAAGGACTGAAAAGAATTAATCTTCTTAATATAGCCAGGGGAAGACAGAAAGGAAATAAGTAGCATTCTCTCATGTAAAATTATATGTGTATGGCAAAGAGGAACACAATCAATTGCCATTCTCTCATTTTAGGGACAAGATGACTCGCAGCAGCTTTAAACTGCATCAGTAGAAGTTTCTGTTAATACCAGGAAATTTTGTGAATTTTTATTTCTAAAAATAGTGAGCTACTGGAATTGAATATATAGAGATTTTGTAGAATCTACTCTTTCACAATTTTTAAAAACATGTTGGACAAACATTTGTCAGGGATAGTTAAGAAGACTTGATTGTGCCTTAAGGCAGAAGGATAAAATAGACACTGAGGTTTCTTTTTTTCTGTCGTTCTCTTTTGCCTGTTTGAACAGTATTATTCATTGCAAAGCAATGTGACTGTAGTTCTCTTTGGAGAAAAAATCATCAGTTTCATATGCAACTTAAATTTATTAGTGTATTTTTGGTTGTATGGAACCTCATTGCTGACATCAGCATGATTAAGAATTGCTGATACTTATTTGGGTCCTATTTGTCATTTTAGGATCATGTTTTTATGTCTTCAGAATTTGGACAATAACCTTAGGTTATCCTAACAGCTTTGACTTCAAAACAGTACAATACTTTTATCTAATCTTAGCATTATACTTAAGAT